ACATGACAAAGAACATCCTCATGGTAGTTCACCAGGTCAAGATGAACTACATAATGGAACAGATTATCCAGAAGAAGTCACCGGGAGACCAGTATATGACACAGAACATCTTCATGGAAGTACACCGGAACACGATGAACCACACCGTGTAACCGAGTATCCAGAAGGAATAACTGGAAGACCAGTATTGGATTCAAAATATCCTCATGGCAATTTACCAGGTCAAGATGAGCCACACCGTGGAACTGAATATCCCGAAGAAGTTACTGGAAGACCAGAATTTGATTCAAAGTATCCTCATGGAAGTACACCGGAAGATGCTGAGTCGCACCGTGGAACAGATTATCCAGAAAGTTTTACTGGAAGACCAACACTTGACACAGAACATCCTCATGGTAGTCCATTAGATCACGATGAATCATATAGTGGAACTGAATATCCAGAAGGAGTTACTGGAAGACCAACACATGACAAAGAACATCCTCATGGTAGTCCATTAGATCACGATGAACCACATCGTGGATCTGAGTATCCGGAAGGAGTTAGTGGAAGACCAACACATGACAAAGAACATCCTCATGGTAGTCCATTAGATCACGATGAACCATATAGTGGAACTGAATATCCAGAAGGAGTTACTGGAAGACCAACACATGACAAAGAACATCCTCATGGTAGTCCATTAGATCACGATGAACCACATCGTGGATCTGAGTATCCGGAAGGAGTTAGTGGAAGACCAGTACTTGATTCAAAGTATCCACAAGGAAGTACACCAGATGATAGTGAACCACACCGTGGAACAGTTTACCCAGAAGGAATCACCGGTAGACCAGTACACGATTCAAAACATCCTCTGGGAAGTACACCGGAAGATGATGAACCACACCGTGGAACAGATTATCCAGAAGAATTAACTGAAAGACCAGGATTTGATTCAAAGTATCCACAAGGAAGTACAGCGGAGCACGATGAACCACATCGTGGAACCGATTACCCAGAAGGAGTAACTGGAAAACCTATACATGACACAGAGCATCCTCATGGTACGTCACCAGGTCAAGATGACCTACATCGTGGAACAGATTACCCAGAAGGAGTCACCGGCAGACCAGTTCACCATCCAAAATATCCACAGAGTGGCAATACGGAAGATGATGAACCACACCGTGGGACAGATTATCCGGAAGGAGTTACTGGCAGACCAGTACATGATACAGAGCGTCCTCATGGTAGTCCATTAGATCACAATGAACCACACCGTGAAACTGATTACCCAGAAGGATTAACTGGAAGACCTGTATTTGATTCAAAATATCCACAGAGTGGCAAACCAGAAGATGATGAACCACACCATGGAACAGATTACCCAGAAGGAGTTACTGGTAGACCAGTTCATGACACCGAGCATCCGCATGGTAGTCCATTAGATCACAATGAACCACACCATGAAACTGATTACCCAGAAGGATTAACTGGAAGACCTGTATTTGATTCAAAATATCCACAGAGTGGCAAACCAGAAGATGATGAACCACACCATGGAACAGATTACCCAGAAGGAGTTACTGGCAGACCAGTACATGACGCAGAACATCCTCATGGTAGTCCATTAGATCACGATGAACCACATCGAGGAACAGAATATCCAGATGTAGTCACTGGAAA